CCCCCCGGTCTCACCATGGCTCTCTCGATCTTGTTGTCGATGGCGCTGACGCCGCTCCCGGCGCTGCGGACAAGGCCGGGGGGGTCAGACGGACGGACAGACGGACGGACAGACACCACCCCTCCCACCCTGCACCCCGCGGGTGGGGGAGGGGCAGAGCTCTCCCCGTTTCCTTCCCCCCCCCCTATTTTTTTTTTATTTTTTACATTTTTGGGGGGGTGGGGGAGGGGAAGCCCCGGCCCCTCCCTCGCACCTGCCCGGCCCCGCCCCCCGGGCCGGAGGTCCCGCCTCACCCCTCCTCCTCGCCCTCCTCGCCAGCCAATCCCAGGCGCGCGCTGAGCTCGGCCCCGCCCCCTGGGCGTGGCGAGGGCGGTTTGGGGGGCAGCGCCTGAAAAAGAACCAAAAATCGGGAGTTTTGGGGTTTTGGGGAAGAGGCGTGGTCACACCGGCCCCGCCCCCTCCGGTAAACCCCGCCCCCTCTCACCTGCTGCACGAGCTCGGCGAAGGCCCCGAGGGACCGGGGCTGGTGGGGGGCGGCGGCGGCCCGGGGGGCGTCCAGCGACACCGGGACCCTCCCGCCGCCGCCGCCGCCGCCGCCGCCGCCCCGCGGGGACGCGTCCCGCTCGTAGAAATCGCGGCACAGCCACCGGCCCCGCCGCAGCACCTCCCCCGGCCACAGCAAGCGGACGAGGCGGAACCGGGAGCCGCTGCCGGGGCTGCCGGTGGAGGAAGAGGAAGAGCCGGTGGCGGCGCCGCTGGCATCGCCGGGCGCGGCGCCGCCGCCGCCGCGGACGCTGGTGATGGCGAAGCCGCTTTTCTTGCGGCTCATGGGGGCGGCGGCGGCGGGAGGAGGAGGAGGAGGCGGAACATGGCGGGGCCGGCCCGGAGCCGTTACCGGCGGCGGCGGCGGCGGCGGCGGCGGCAGGACCCGGAAGTGCGAACCGGAAGTGATGTTGCGCTTTAAGGGCGTCGCCGCGCCCCGCCCCCCTCGCGGGAAGCCACGCCCCCAGCCGCGCCCACGTGACCGGGAGGCGCGGGCGGGTCCTCCGCGCCGCCAGGGGGCGCCGGCGCGGGCGCGGCGCGCTCCGGACGCTGCGTCAGCGGCGGCGGAGCGGCGCGAGCGGGAGGCGGGAGCGGCCGGTGAGGGAGGAGGAGGAGGGCAGCGATGGGGGCGGCCCCGCGGCCCCTCCCGCGCCCGGTGACCACCCGCTGCCCCTCCCCCGCAGGCCGCTAGACCCCCCCCCGCCATGGGCCAACGCCCCCCGTGAGCCCCCGGCCCGGGCGCGGCCGTGCTGGCGGCGGTGGGGGGGGGGGTGCGGCGCAGGATTCCCCCCCCCCCCCAACCGTGGGACCCCCGAGAGAGCGACAGGTAACGGGGGACGGGGGAGGCCGAGAGCCCCGGGGCAACAC